CTGGGTCTGTTTGACTTTCAAACCCATGCTATTAGTTGAAAGGGCTAAATATAGAACACCAGGCCCTGGGACCAGGTCAGAGTGTTCTGTTCGGTTTTGCTACTTTCTAGTAAGTAATTGCTCTGGCTGCAGATAAAGTTAAACAATCCCGTATGTAGAATGGGACACAGGGAATTCCCCCCCTTGATTAGTTAAGTATGTTAATAAGGTTTCTTAGAACAAGTTTTCTCTTCACAAGCAAGTATATTATAACCTTGGAGACTCCATGGAGTCTACCCCATGTGGAGAAGTTGTTCTGATGAGCTTAACATGTTTATCCAGCTAAGATTCTAGAACAGATTAGAAAAGGGATGGTTTTTTTTTTTAGGAGTCTTTCTTTTCTTTTTTTTTTTTTTTTGAGGAAGATCAGCCCTGAGCTAACATCTGTGCTAATCCTCCTCTTTTTGCTGAGGAAGACCAGCTCTGAGCTCACATCTGTTTGCCAATCTTCCTCCCTTTTTTTTTTTTTCCCCTTTTTCTCCCCAAAGCCCCAGTAGATAGTTGTATGTCATAGTTGCACATCGTTCTAGTTGCTGTATGTGGGACGTGGCCTCAGCATGGCCGGACAAGCGGTACATTGGTGCGCGCCCTGGAGCCGAACCTGGGCCGCCGGTAGCGGAGCGCTCGCACTTAACCGCTAAGCCATGGGGCTGGCCCAGAAAAGGGATGGTTTGTGAGCATTAAGAGGTAGCAGGGGATTAAAATTCAAAATCCTGTCATACTAATCTCAGTAATCCATGGTAGATATATCTAGACTTCATTGATGATCTCTTCGGCAATCCCTGTGGACGGGGAATTATTGATGGGATGCTAGTACAATTAGATTGTAATGAGAGAGACTGTGTGGCGTAGTGGTTAAGAATATGGTCTCTGGAGCCAGATATCTGGCTTCAAATCCTGGCTTTACCACTACTTACTTCCGTGACTTCAGCCCAGTTAGGTAACCACTCTATGCTTCAGTTACTTCAGCTGTAAAATGGGGACAGTACTAGCATCTACCTCATGGGTTATTGTGAGGATTACATGAGATGAAAATAATCACTAATAAATAACGAAGTGTTTAGAACGGTGCCTGGCATGTGCAGGATGACATGCAGGAGTTATTGTTATTAACAATCATTGTGACAATTATTATTATTAGGTAGTTGAATGACTGTACACAAAACAAACTGATTAATGACTGTAGTGACTCATACAGAGCTGATCAGTATCTAGAAACTCCAAATTTGTTCCACATCACTGCTGCTTAGCCACATTTTTGCCATATAGTATGTCTACTGCTTATTTTTATTTTTATTTATTTATTTATTTTATTATTTTTTTTGTGAGGAAGATCAGCCCTGAGCTAACATCCATGTTAATCCTCCTCTTTTTGCTGAGGAAGACCGACTCTGAGCTAACATCTATTGCCAATCCTCCTCCTTTTGTTTTTTCCCCTCCAAAGCCCCAGTAGATAGTTGTATATCATAGTTGCACATCTTTCTAGGCGCTGTATGTGGGACGTGGCCTCAGCATGGCTGGAGAAGCGGTGCGTCGGTGCGCGCCTGGGATCCGAACCCGGGCTGCCAGTAGTGGAGCGGGCGCACTTAACCGCTAAGCCACAGGGCCGGCCCTACTGCTTATTTTTAGAAGTCTCCTGAAAAATCTATTTATTCGCACCCACTATCTTTTGAGGAGTCTAGGGTGAGTGGACAGGCTGGAAAATGGTTTCTGTGTCAAAGGTATACAGATGTATTTACAGATTCCTCATTGGAATAAAAAATCTTGATAAGCTAAAATGATGGGTGCAACTCTAGGAACACGTGTTGGCTTCTGCAGTGTTGAAATCGTCTCTAAAGTTCATACTAGATTAAGATTGATTTTTACTTTACATTATTTTAAGAATCCTTTTTTTTAATAATTTTATTTATTTATTTATTTTTCCCCCAAAGCCCCAGTAGATAGTTGTATGTCATAGCTGCACATCCTTCTAGTTGCTGTATATGGGACACGGCCTCAGCATGGCTGGAGAAGCGGTGCGTCGATGCTCGCCTGGGATCCGAACCCAGGCCGCCAGCAGTGGAGCGCGCGCACTTAACCGCTAAGCCACGGGGCCGGCCCAGAATCCTTTTTTAACAATTACCGAAAACTCCATGATTCTATTATCAACAGTCATTTAACTCTAAGTATTACTAGTTTCATTTCTTGCTACTCTTTGTTGTGTTTTATTGTCTTCCCCTTTCTTGACATTTTATTTATTCTTTTTTTTTTTTTTTTGGTAAGGAAGATCAGCCCTGAGCCAACATCTGATGCCCATCCTCGTCTTTTTGCCGAGGAAGATTGGCCTTGGGCTAACATCCGTGCCCATCTTCCTCTACTTTATATGGGACGCCGCTACAGCATGGCTTAACAAGCAGTGCGTCAATGTGCGCCTGGGATCCGAACCTGCGAACCCCGGGCTGCTGCAGCGGAGTGCGTGTACTTAACCGCTGTGCCGCCAGGCTGGCCCTGACATTATTTATTCTGATGTTTTTCACTGGCTTGAGTATTTTCTCAAAATCTTTTTCAGAAAAGAAATGTCAGTGGTATAATTCCTGAGATCATTCATGTTCCAAAAGGTCATTTCTTTGCTTAAATATAGCATGATGTTTTGCCCCGTTTTCCTTAGAACTCCATAAATATTACTCCATTACTATCTAGCATTTAGTGTTTCAGACAAAAAGTCCCGGGTCAGACTGGTTCTCTTTTCCTTATAGAGTACCCCCTTTCTCTCAGGAAGTTTATGGATCTTTCTCTTATTCCATGAAATTCAGAGTGACTTTCTTTTTTCAGCATTCATGCCTGTCACCTTAAAAGACTATTTGGATTTGAATATATAAACTGAGCAATTTTTTCTTTTGATATTAATTCTTCTATGTCTACTCCATTCTCTTCTGTAATTTCTCTTAAATGGATATTAAATATTTTGGATCTGTCATCATATCAATTTTTGGTCCTATAGTTTCTATCTCACATAATTTTATTTTTCTATATGTTTTTGGTGAATTCTTCAGGTTGGAATTTGTGAATTTATTTTCTAGCAGTGACCAACCTATTATTCAATGCCTCTATTGAGTTTTTATTTTTGGCATTCATATTTTGGTTTTAGTTTTCAAGACCTCATTGTTTCCTCAGAAACTCCTCTCTTTTATCATTGATATAGTATCCTCTTAATCTTGTTTGGACTTCTGCCTCTCTTCATATGTCAAGAGTGTCTTGGTTATCTATTATTGCATGACTCTACTCTTCCCACCCTCCCAAATTTAGTGGCTTAAAACTATTATTTCTGGCAATTCCATGGCTAGGTGGTTTTGTCAGTCGTGTGGATATATTTAGTGGTGGCTGGGCTGGGTTGGGCTGGTAGGTAAAAGACCTTGATACTGACTATCAGTAGGGCACCTTAGTTCTCTTCCGCATGGCCTCTCTCTTCATGTGGCTCTCATCTTGAGGGCTTCTCCGAGTGGTCTTTCTCCCAAGCACAATAGCCTGGATTTGCTTACAATCATGGACACTGGATTCCAACAGAGGGAAAGAGGAAGCTGCCATCTACAAGGCTAGGTCCAGAGCAGGCACAGTGTTACTGTTGCCACATTCTATTGGCCAAAGCAAGTCTCAAGGCCAGCCCAAGGGGAGGGCAAATGAATCCCACTCTTGGTGGGAGGAGGGGAGGAATTGTTGTCAGCCATCTTTGGAGACTATCCCCCACAGAGTTCCTCAAAGTTTGCTGCACTAAAGGTGTAGGTTGGTCAGAATTGGTAACTTGTGTGGGCTCCTTCAGCAAGTGAATGAATTACTGGTTCCCAAACAATGACCAGTGAGTGATGAGGTGTTCATTGGTCCAAGACCAAAAAACGAAGAAACGTAAAGGAGCATATAGTGAATTTTAATAAAATCACATTAAACAAAAATTTAAAAGGATTCTGAGATTATTTTCTTCCTTCTTTTTGGGAGGTTAAACTGTTCTTTCTTTTATGAAATTATGGTATTAGTAGGTTTTTGGGGGAAAATAAAAGGCTTTACCTGGCAAAATAGAATATTGGCCACCTTATATCAATCCTTCCAAAATGACTGGTCTTTGAAATCCCAGAGTCCAGGAACAACTAGGCTTTCTTCAGTCATGCTGCTCCCTGTCCACTGCCCCCCTGATGGTTCTTGCAAATGTGCTGGGAAAGGTCCCATTTCGCTTAAGGTACTTTTTTTCTCCAAGTGAAATTGGTGTGTGTGGCTCTGATGGAATTCCTGAAGCTTTTAGTTTTGTTCTCTAAGCCAGTTCTGAGGGAAGAAACTACCAACTGGCAGAGAGATTTCTTCTTCAGCCTCTAAATTATTGTGTGGTTTTCACCCGTGTACCTGCTGCCTCTGGCAATCTTCATTCAAGGCGAAAAGTCTGCTGAGGGGCATGTCTTATCCTTCTTGAAGCCTGTTTTAAGCCCATCTAATCTTGGTAAAATTAGTGAGACCCTTCTGAATTATCCCTTTACTTCCTGCCTCACCATCTTGTGCTCATGAGCTGAAAAGCATTTTTCACTCTGGTCTAAATTGTTTTGGGTTTGGAGTTCTACTTCAGATATTTTAGAGGCTATTTGTGAGGTTGAGGCCATCTTTATTTTATAGTAATTGAATTTTTTAGCATTCTTTTTTGGGTTCATTTTGTTAGGTGTCAGAGCGTTGGTGACGGTTGATGGTTTTTATAAATTCCCAGAATACGTTGACAAGTATTTCTTGAGCACATCTTAGTGCCTGTGATGGGAAGGATACATAAGAAGAACGCTTATGGAGTAAAATAAAATTCATGATACAATTGCAAACAAATGTGTCTGTCCATTTATAAGGGTAGTTTGGGAATGTAAGGAATGGCTCTCACAATGCCCTCCCCAGCACCTTTTTTTTTTTTACCTTTTTCTGTTTTTCTCTTCCTTCTTGTATTTGGGATGGGTCTCAAGACATAGATGAGTGTGAGGTTTCCGGCGTGTGCAGGCACGGAGGATGGTGTGTGAACACCCATGGGAGCTTTGAATGCTACTGTATGGATGGATACTTGCCAAAGAATGGGCCCGAGCCTTTCCATCCGACCAGAGATGCCACGTCATGCACAGGTGGGTTTCTGCCAAAGAATGCAGCATCTGAAGGTGAGATTCTATTGATGGTGACTCTCCTGCTCTGAGTGTATGTCTGTGGGTCTGTGTTGGGGACATGGGTGAAGATTATCTGTTCCTTTGTGCATTTGTGCGACCTATGAAATAAAGAAAGTAATCAAGATTGAAGGGGCTATATTAGAAAAGCTAAAATTAGTCAACCAGGGATTTTTAGCGGTTAATAGATATTCAGATATTAAACTTTATGTTAGATCGTAAACACAGCTGATCTGGTAAGGACCAGCATCTCAAAAGTGATCCTGAAAATTATAAAAGCATATATATCTTAAGGTATTTTGCAATTCAAAATTTTCACTTCATTGGGCTAGGCTTCTCTTTAGTTAGTATGAATTAGTGAGGGTTGGTTGCCAACTTCTTTCTGCCTTGTGCATGTGGAGATTCTATTACCTATGGAAGGCCAGAAGATTGAATAGAGACAATCCTTGGAGCCATGCCCAGAAGTCATGTGGAAATGAACCAGCCTATTTAAAATATGGCTCCAGGGTGTGTGTGTGTGGGGAGAGGGGATGGGATAGAAGTGGAGAGAAATTATGAATTTTGAAAATTCACATTCACGTAGTAATGAATTTGATGTTAATTTGTTTTCAGAAATAGACTGTGGCACCCCTCCTGAAGTCCCAGATGGCTATATCATAGGAAATTATACCTCTAGGCTTGGCAGTCAGGTTCGTTATGCTTGCAAAGAAGGATTTTTCAGTGTCCCAGAAGATACAGTTTCAAGCTGTACACCCTTGGGCACCTGGGAGTCCCCAAAGTTAAATTGCCAAGGTGAGTTTTCAAAAGGTTCGGGTTCACAGTTTATACCATTTTGAGATTGTTTTCATATTTCTCTCTAAATTTCTCTTTGGGGTAGTGAATAAATTAAGTAAATCCAATAAATTCCCATTGTTTCTAATGTCCTCTTGGTATTTTCAGGAATAGTATCTTCTCATTTGCAAATAATGATAATTCCATCCTTCATTTTTCTATATTTATAAAAGTTATATTTTTCTCTTGACTAATCACTTAGCTAGTGTTTTCAGAACAAAAATTTAAATAGTAGTGTGGACCTTCAATGTTCTTTTCTTATTCCTGACTTTCATGGCAATGGTTTTACTGTTTCATTATTCATTCATGGTCTTGGCTTTTTGATGTTAGGTATATCTACTCATATACTTATGTACACTAATACAGCCCTATGTGTCAAGGGCTGTTCTAAGCATTTTATATATATATTGACTCATTCAATCCTCACAGTATCCCTGTGGGTAGGGACTATTATTGTTATCACATTTTACAGATGAGAAAACTGAGGCATTGGAGAAGTTAAGTAATTTGTTCAAGGTTATACAACTAGTGATAAAGCTGAAATTTAAACCCAGAAATTCTAGTTTCAGAGGTTGTGTTCTTAATCACTTTGCTATACTGCTTCTGTTTTTGTGATCATGTTGGCTTTTGTTTTGTTTTCTAATTTTGGCTTTCTCTCCCTTCATCTGTTATCATTTTACTGTTTTTTGGCTATATATGCATAATCTTAAGGAAGCATCCATCTATTCCCATTTTACTAGGATTTTTAAAAAAAAATCAGAAATGAGTTATTTTTATCACGTCTTTTAGGTGTGTGTTAAGGGGATCATATATATTTTTTCTCCTTTGAACCAGTTATATGGTGGGTTATATTTTTAGATTTCCTGTTAATGATGAATACTAATTGCTGGAATGGATTCTTCTGGATCTTTGGTGTTTTATTTTTTTAATCTGGGTTATATTTGCTAAATTTTACTTAGAATTCTTACATTGATATTCATAAGTGAGATTGGTCTATTTTCTTTTTCTATGCCACCTTTGTTGGATTTGGTATCAACGTTATACTAAATTTTATTATTTTTTTAATTTTTATTTATTTATCTTATTTTATTTTTTTGGTGTGGAAGATTGGCCCTGAGCTAACATCTGTGCCAATCTTCCTCCATTTTGTACGTGGGACGCTGCCACAGCATGGCTTGATGAGTGGCATGTAGGTCTGCGCCTGGGATCTGAACCTGCAAACCCCAGGCCACTGAAGCGGAGCACATGAAATTAATCACTACACCACTGGGCCAGCCCTCTAAATTTTAAAAAAAGAATGTGAAAGGATTTCCTTCTTTCTCTGGAATATTTTAAATAGAATTTCTAAAGATTTGGGAGATTTCACCTGGAAAACCATCTGAATGTGACACCTTTGGAGAGGTAGCCCTTGGGCTATTTAAAAAAACTTAATACTTACTAGTCTGTTTAGTATCCTGTTCTTTTTGGTATCCATTTTGGTAATGTACGTATTCCTAGAAAATCACTTATTTCATCTAGATTTTCAAATTTATTTGTAGAGAGAAATGTAAAGCACTCACACTTTTGATTTTCTGTGGTTATATTTATTTATAGTTGTTATAATAGTGAAATATTAGAAACAATCCCCAATGTCTATCAATAGATGGGTTAAATAAATCATGGCATGTACATAAAATGGAATATTATGTAGCCAATAAAAATTATGTTGGAAAAGAATGTTTTTTGACATAGGTAAGTATTAACAGTATATTATGGAGTTACAAACTGTGTGAATAACATGCTCTTAATTTTGAAAAAGTTCGTATGTACGGATATGCTTACAAAAAGTTTAGAAGGCTATACATCAAGATGTTAGTAGTGGTAATTTTTTTTTTTAATTTTATTTATTTATTTATTTTTTCCCCCAAAGCCCCAGTAGATAGTTGTATGTCATAGCTGCACATCCTTCTAGTTGCTGTATGTGGGACGCGGCCTCAGCATGGCCGGAGAAGTGGTGCGTCGGTGCGTGCCCGGGATCCAGACCCAGGCCGCCAGCAGTGGAGCGCGAGCACTTAACGGCTAAGCCATGGGGCCGGCCCTGCAGTGGTAATTTCCACTGGGGGGATCCTGGATGACTTTTACATTTTATATACTTTCTGTATTGAAGGAATTTTTAACATATTAGACAAAGTCACAAAGATGTTTCCATTTTAGAAAAAAGAAAAAAAACAGTTTTCACTGAATTTATTGTGTAGCTAAGAAACCTCAGTGACGTGCTTGGCTAAGTTAATCCTTCTGATATTCTGATTTGTGATTCAGGCTCTGAACACATTTTGTTAATTATCATACTGGGGGTTAAGAAAGTCTAAAAGTACATTTCAGTTCTAACATTATCTTTCAGTGGATCAGTTAAAATGCAGAATTTAGATGAAAATGTGCCATAATGCATATCAAAGAACTCGCTAAGGATTTCTATAGGAAACCCCAGATAAAATAATTTGTATTACTTTGAAAATTAGTAGTCATCTGGATTATTGGACTGAGAATGTAGAAAGTTAATGTGGAGGAGAATGCTTGTTACAGTCCCCAAAGAACTGTTATTTAGAAGTTCTTCACTTCTTTTTTTTCCCTCCTCTAAATAACTGCTCCCTCTGCCTGCTGGCACCTTCCTCCTCCTCCCCTGTGTCACCACATGGCCGTCGGCTTCTCACAGGCTGTGCCTGCTCCTCTCTCAGCACACCCCTTCTTATTTATCCTTCACTCTTCTTGGGGCTCCAGAATCTGGGCCGTGTGCCAGCTGGCACTGTATTTTTAGCTCAGAGTGATAAAGCCACAGGAATGGGGAATTCCACTAAAAACAGTAGCAAACTGTGAACTTGGGTGCCGCTGAGGAGCAGGTACTTGTGAAGGGAGCAGCTGTGTGTTACAGATGGCAGCTTTTGTGTCCAATAACGGACTTTCCCGTCAGAGAAGGTACAGTTGGTGGATCCCGTGGTTTGCCTTCTCCCAATTGCTATGTCCGTGGAGGCTCTGCTGCCTTGGCAGGGAGGCCTGTGACGTGGGGGCCCCATCTAAGCAGCCCTCAGAGGTGGGAGCTGGAAGTGAGGATGAAAACTTCCAACGGCAGGGGCCCCTGGGGCCCCTATTCTGCTGTAGGTAGAAATTTACGGAAATGTCAGTCACACATTTCCATCAACTTTCTGGAAAAGATAGAATCTCTAGCTTGCATTTCCTAGTATTTTGTTATTATCATTATTTCTTTAATTTTCAGAAAAGGTGCAAGTTGTAAGTGCAGCTTAAAGAACTTAAGTTTTTAAAATTCAGCCAAGCCAGGAACAAGGTGAGGAAATCACTTTAGCCGTGTTGTCATCAACAACAAATCCAGTCGAGGTCTGCCGCTACAGATATACCGTGATAGATAGATCCTGTTACTAAGAAAGTCTGGAGTCTGAGAGGAGAGAAAAGTCAGGTGCACCACAAACTATTATAAAAGGGTGAGCTCCTAAGTATTATGTGAGAAGATTGGAGAAAGATGAAGAGATTCAGATGGGGAAATGGGGTGGAAACATGGAAGGGTGGCATTTTTGCTTTTCCCTTTGAGTGGTCTGCCTCCTGTGTAAGAGTCCAGTGAGGAGTGGTTTGCAGTGTAGGCAGACCAATTGGAGGGTTCTGGGACTATCTGTCTTCTAGATATGCTCCCATACGTTATGGGGCCTGATCCACCTTTTGGGCTGGGAATTCTCACCGGCGGTGTGTCCGTACTGAACAGTCCCTTTAAGAATCCACTTCTCGGGGCCAGCCCGGTGGCACAAGCAGTTAAGTGAGTCTGCTCCACTGCTGTGGCCTGGGGTTCGCCGGTTCGGATCCTGGGTGTGGACCTACACACTGCTCATCAAGCCATGCTGTGGCGGCATCCCATGTACAAAATAGGGGAAGACTGGCACAGATGTTAGCTCAGCGACAATCTTCCTCAAACAAAAAGAGGAAGATTGGCAACAGACGTTAGCTTAGGGCCAATCTTCCCCACCAAAACAAAAAAAAACGCAAATACAAATGCTGTCTGAGGTGATTAATATGTTGGTATTATTTCCTGTTTTACAAATACTCTATTTACAACTAATAATGGATATTATTTCCCATTAAGAACCACAGTGAGGAAACAACTCACCCCATGTCTCTAGTTTATTGCATCAAGATGAGAATCCAAAGCACTTTTCTAGAAGGCAAATTCCATGTAGAAGCAGCCCTAATGAGTCCTGGAGATGGAAGGCAATGATGAAAAGTTGAGGGTCTTAGAAGGAGAGAGATGCTGGGGCAAACATGCCTTCCTGCACAGTGTGATCTCGGACCCACCCAGCGGGTATTTAATGTTGCTGAGTCAACTCTTCATCTTTTGAGATTTTCTTAATGGAGCCCAAGCTTATCTCTACAAAGTTGGGAAGTCTTTGAAAAAGCTTTGACCTAAGTTGGAAAACAAATTAGCGCGTTCAGGTGAGGGGTGGCAGATAAGTTTCATTGCGCTGCTGTCTCTGAATTTTCAGTAGTGCTGTGGAGAGGACTCTGAGACCATATCTGGACTTAGCAGGGAAGAGTGCTGTGATCGACACATGGTGTCCACCATGGGTGAGGGAGCACTGAGTGGCAGCATACTTACCTTGTGTCTGTCATCTATGTTCTAGGTGATGGGAGGTTTTGCTCATTTGAAATGGATTTTTTGGTACCTCACTAAATGCTGATCTTTTAAAACATTGAGGAAAAAAACTGTATTGACTTACTCACTGCATACAACAAATCTCTTGTGTCACCCTTTTGCCAAGTAAATGCCGTTAAAATATGTCACTTAGAAATGGTTGGAGTCATTTGAGTGTGCAAAATGAATGATGACAGTGGTTATGAGACTCAGGGTGGTGAAGCATGAGCCTTAGAATCAGAAAGACTTGTGTGACTTTTGGCTGAGCCACTTACTAGTTACGTAACCACCTCTGAACTTCTCTAAACTCCAGTGTCTTTCTGTAGAAGGAGATAAAATTGTTTTCATCCTATGGAGTTATTATGAAGATTTAATGAGATAATGATATAAAAGCACTTGGCAGTGCCTGATGCTGATTAGCTGCTGGATGAGTGTTAGCCATTGTAAGAGAGTCATAATCCAGTGGAGAGTGGCAGGTAATGTTTCTACCAAAATTTAAGATCTTTCTGAAAATTCTTCAGCTTTCACATTATCTTATTTATCGTTTTTTGATTCACATATTCTATTTGCAGCTACAATATTAAAATGAAGAGTTTTAATATTTTTTGAAAAAAGATTCATCTGCAGCTCAAAGCATAAAAAACCATTATCACCTCTACAAATGGCAGATCCTGATGAGAGAGATGCTGATAAACTATTTTTTTCTTTCTAGCACCCATGCTTTACCTACCCTATCACCTCCTCTGCAGTTTCTGAAGTGTCCAGATTCTAGCTAGAATTTTTATACTAGACACAGTAAGTGTTGGTATGTGAAATGAAAAACTTTCTTTTTCCTCCAAATGAGCTTTCTTTAGGAATATGATCCAAAGAAATGAATTGTTAGCTGAGGCTAAAGTTCAGGAAAGAGTTTTGAATACAGGATACATCAAAAAGTAATTCTTTTCTTTCTACTGCCTTAAGAGCAAGTGAACTTTTTGGTACTAATGAGCCCGTTAGCTTAGTTACAGCAGTTAATAAGCTACTCTTGAGAATGTGCTTCATGGCAGACTATAACCCTCCCTTTCTTTTGATGGTTACAATAGCACTTTATAAATTCAAGTTGCCATATATTGAGATGTCAGATTCCAACCTCCAACGCTGATGATATATGTAATTTAGTACCCAAGTGATCCAATCCTGGAATGATGGTCTAACTATATTTGGCTCAATTTGGAACATGCCATAAAGTGCGTGAAACTTTGTCATAAAGTTACACTTTTCAGCCCCATTCTGTAGGCCACATGTCTTACATATAAACATCACAAATGTTAATAATGTTTGTAATAATATTAATAACTCACATGACTACAGGGATATTTTAAAAATATAGGATATGGGTACAGCCCACAAAGAACTTACCGTTATGGGGGGAAGAGAACATTTTTACAAATGAAACAAATGATGAAAGTATAGATAAAAGTGCTGAGTTATCTAATTCAGAACATGAGTCTAGTGTCGACTCTGGTGTTAATCTGTCTAGACCATTTGGACCCTTAAAACCTACCCCTTTACACTAGTTTCCAGGTAATATGTAATTTGAATTGATTCTAAGGCACAATAGAGACTTATTTCTATTATTGTTGGGTGAAGATGAAAACTGACTTTAATGTGATATTCCTCAGTTTTCATACTTGTTTCTGCTTTTTGCCAGAGCTTTCCATCTAGTAGTTTATTTTTCTGGGAAGATTTTTTTTTTTGGGTCAATATCTATAAATGGAATAGGTCTATCATTCATTCCCCTGGCACTTGGCAAAATGTCTGCCTCAATTTATAGACATTATTGATCATTTTTTTTCTTTCTCAGCTTGGTATTTATTGGTCTCTAAAACAGTCTTAGATGAAGCCTTATATTACTATGTTATTTCCGTCATCAATCACATTATTGTACTGATGTTTATAATAAACAGCAGCCAATGTGAATAATTTGGTGATACAATCAGTTATTGATTAGATGCTAAATTGCCTATATCTTTCACCAAACAGATTTCCTTCTGGAATATTTTCTTGGTAGAATATTAAAGCTAGCAGTGTGGACAAACGTTGCAAAAGTTACAATATAAATGTGGTCCTTGAAACTGGTACAGCGCATTTTCCCCCAGGGAGACCTATTTTGAAGTTGACTATTTGAATAACATCACAGATAATAGGACAGTAAGGAAAAATTCCCAGCCATGTTCATAATTAGTTGAGTGTATTCCTGATGCAGATCCAAACACTGTTAGTTAATAATGTAATTAGCCAGAGAAACGTGTGCTTTAGTGAACACTCCCAATGCACATGCAATGCAAATTTGTGCTGCTTATATTTTTCTTTCCTTTGGACATATACTGTTTTTAAATGGCTTGTTTCCTTGTGATAAACCTTTGGGGTTTTCATGTAGACCTATATTTTCATTACCACCAACTGCAGCCTCTGTTGGATTGATTTTTGAGTATTTCTTAATAGGAGCCACCCACTTTCTTGGGTACCATTTGGTCTGAGCAGAAGTTTCAGTGGCTGCCATCTCTCTTAAGCGTGGTGGGAATGTCTGTGACAGGGCCATGTTCCAAGTGAGACCTAAGCCCCCATATCATGGGGTTAAACATCAGTACCAAGAAGGCTTTAGGGGGTCACACAGCTGCAGTGGGGAGTCTATTTCTAGCAGTTCTCTTGCTCTGGGAAAGTTCTTGGAGACAAGATTGGCCAGAGGGAATTGTCATAGAACCCTTCCAGACTGATGTGAATGCTCCTTCGTGCAACCTTTCTCCTGAGGTTTTAGCTAACCTATAAGATCAGTCTCAGTCAGGGTCTAGAGTGGATCTCTTCATCGTGAGGCTGCCCAGATTTAAGAGACCTGGATTTTGGGGGTCACACAAACTATGGTTTGAATACTGGCTCTATCTTTTACTGGTGGTGTGACTTTTGAATGTGACTTAAGCTCTTAGGACCTCCATTTTCGTATCTATCAACTACATGAGAAAAAACCATCCAGCTTACAGGGTTTCTGTGAGGAATAACTAAGATAGTGTATGTCTAATAGACTACCAATTTAGTGATCTTCTGTACTCTTCTCCCTTTAGTATCTGTGCTTCTTCCCTAATCCAACTGTCTGTCACTGAGTTCCCTCCCAAACCTCTCCAAGGTGCTCTTTAGAATTCCAGCTTTAAGGTCCATAAACCTACATAAACCTATACCCTCAGTCTCTTCCCTGATGCTCCCTCTACTTCCTGCTGTAACTGAACCCTTGTTTAAACTAGAAGATGTTTTAGATGTAGACAAAGACTGGGCAGTCTTATGAAACGTTAACTACCTGTTCGGTTGGTTGCTCATGTGTACACAAATATACTCATGTCTTGGAATATTTTGGGCTGGTAAAACATGGTTTTGATGCTGGGAAAACATGATGAGGGCCAAGGGGTCTTGTGTCTGGTAAACATGTAGGAAAAGGGAACAAAGCCCTGTGAGCAGCCATGGGACTTGAGAGGTAGGCAGGGTTGGAGGATTTATGAAATGATCACCTCATTCCGGTCCCATAACTGCTCAGGACTTGAATCTGCACTGACCAGAGGCTGACTCTGTTTTTTTAAATCTCAGAGCCAAGCGACTGGTCAGGTGGGTTGGGCTGTTGTATTGAGGGTCTTATGATAACTCCAATGACAACAGATGAAACCTTGTGCTGGGAGGCCTCCCTCGGGAAAAACTCTGGGGTTCTGCAACAGATCAAGCATCCATAATGGGATGGAGAAGAGTGCAATTCCATTAAATCCACCAATTCTGTATCAGAAGCTCCTTTACTATTTCTAAGGCCAAGAATGGTTGGTGAGGAGTTGGGAACAGATCATACCATTTTCTCTATTTTGAATGCTTTATCTCAATAAATGAACTTATGTTTTAAAAGCCTGGATGTCAGGAGTGCTTAATTTTTTGGGCTTTCTACAGATTGAAGAGAAAACTAAAAATCAGAATGAATGCCAAAAGTTATATATTTTTTTCTTTCTTTATTTAGGTATAACTGGGATTATTGATTACATTTGGAAGTGGTATAGGTCTGTGTCTGGGAACTGAACCCAGGCCGCCAAAGTAGAGTGTGCTGAACTTAACCACGAGGCCACCAGTGCTGGCCTGTGTTATGCTTTCTTGAATAAAATTATATCTATGAGTTCCCCACTGCTGCATGAGAAATTTAGTATGTTTTATTTCTTCCTTCACCTCACTGCTCAGATTTTATTGAAATAATTTGGAATTTTATTTTCAAATTATTAATTTTTTTACATTGTTCAGCTTTTAGTTCTAGAATCCTTTACTACTAGTTGTATCAAGCTCTACAGTCACATTTAAATGATTATGGGGACTTATCTGTACATTATGTTGATTTCATTGTTCACTAGTGTTTCTTCTAAAACTTATCCTCCTCGTTTATTTATTTATTCTGATTCATTTTTTTGCTGGACTGGAGTTATTTTTGATTTTTTTTTCTAAAAAAGGTACACATGTGGAGTTTTTAATTGTTAAATATCTGAAAGTGACTTTCTTTTACTCTTATGTGAAGTAGAGTTTGGCTGGGTCTAAAATGATAATGTCATAGTCCTTTTACTTCTGATAGTTCTCTTTAAATATTCCAGTGTCTTCTAGTAGTCAGAGTTGCAGAGAAGAAATTTCATAACAATTTTATAATTCCAGGTTTGTCTCCCTCCATGCAACTGATTTTTTTCTTTGACAAGTGCATATAAATTGAATGTTTAGACTATAAGTACTTCCCACATTAATTTGCCTTAAAAAGTTCAGAAGTTTTGTATATATTTCATTTAATATTCAGTTGGTAACAAAACTCCTACAATTGCATTATCTTCTACTCAGGAGTTAATAATCTGAAGATACACAGTAAAAGGTACCAGAAAATCTTAATGTTTAAAAGAAACCTGAGGTGGGTTATTCATTGACCAGGGAATTCTTTATAATGTAAATAATCTCATAATTGGAATATTATCTATGTATACGTATTTGTAAATTTCATTAAAGTCAGACATATTTATTTTCTCTACTTCTGAACAGTCTCATATAACTATACCTGCAACTGGATTATTTGATGGGTTAGTGTTCTCTCTTTTCCCGTATGGGTGGACTCTATCATTACTAAACATTTATTTCTAAAATATGAATGATAGGAGTAGAAGTCGGGGGTCATAACGAGTGCTGTGTTACTTCCCATTGCAGAGATCAACTGTGGCCGCCCTCCGGAAATGCAGCATGCCATCCTGGTGGGGAATCACAGCTCCAAACTGGGCAGTGTGGCTCACTATGTCTGTCAAGAGGGCTTTGAGAGCCCTGGAGGAAAGATCACTTCTGTTTGCACAGAGAAAGGCACCTGGAGAGAAAGTACTTTGACATGCAAAGGTATAGACTTTATTCTATGGGGTTTCTGTTTCCCAGAAGCAAATAGCCAGTGGGAGTATGAGACCTAAAGCCATTGGATTGCTCACTCTGTGTCCTGTGTCTGGCTGTCCCATTCACCTGGGTGGGCACCTGGCTTTAGGTTTGTCAGCTAAATCCTGAAAATTTAGAGAATGGATTGGGAAAATAAGTTAGAAAATTTTATGCCTCCGTCTTTTGAAACTCAGTTTAAATCACAGTGATTCCTGTCTCCTCTGCTTGGCTGGCTGAGAAATTTTTCTCCATGAACCATTTTCTCAGGGGGGCATACTTAAAAGTCCTAACTTGCACATGTTGACAGCTTTTCAGAGAAAAGTTGGTATAATGATAAAGAGGTTTTTAATGTTCATTTTTGTTTTTAATTGTGGCAAAACACACTACGTAAAATTTACCATCTTAACCATTTTTGAGTGTTATGTATATTCACATTGTTGTGCAACCAATCTCTAGAACTTTTTCATTTTGTAGAACTGAAATTCTGTACCCGTTAAACAATAACTCCCCACTTCCCCCTTTCCCTAGCCTCTGGCACCACCATTCTACTTTCTGTTTCTATGAGTTTGACTAATTTAGATATCTTGTATAAGCAGAATCATGCAGTATTTGTCCTTCTGTAACTGGCTTATTTTACTTAGCATATTATGCTCCAGATTCATCTATGTTGTCACAAATGGTGGGATTTCCTTCTTTTTTAAGGCTGAATAATATTCCATTTTATGTGTGTACCACATTTTGTTTATCCATTCATCCACTGATGGACACTTGTGTTGCTTCCACCTTTTGGTTATTGTGAGTAATGCTGCTATGAGCATGGGTGTACAAGTAGCTCTTTGAGACCCTGCTTTCGATTCTTTTTGATATACACCCCAAAATGGAATTACTGGTGAAAAGGAGTTTTGAGACTTCAGTTCAAATTCTAGCAGTGCCATATATTAGCTGTGTGTCATCAGAGAAGGCATTATTCTCTCAGAGCCTCAATTTCCTCATCTATAAAAGGGAGGAAATAAAGTCTGCTTTTCCTGCTTCCAAGGGTTGTTGAGAGGGAATCAAATGAGATAGTCTATGGGGAGCATTTTGAAAAGTTGAAAGCACCATGCACATATTAGGTCTTTTGCTGAAATTATTAGCCTTGCTTGAAGAAGATCTTCTTCTGAATCAGAAGTGTGCATTCCTACATGTTTTATTTTATACTTCTGCCTCCAAGAAACAAGATGAGAAAAGGCAATGATTCTTACCATTTGTGGTGGTTGGTCAGGGGGTGTGACAAATGGTTGTCATATAGTCTTGAATGGCTTTAGGAATATATCTCTAGCTGTTGACTTGCTTGGCTCTGAAGAGTAAAATCTCAAAGTAGCTTTGGTCTGGGTCTCTGATTTGACTTGCAACATAATTGTGGTAGAATGTCTTGCTCATCAGAGTTTTCCCTAGGCAAGTCTAGCCAGAGCAAGCAAAACATGTGGACTACTGGGGATTATTTGTCCGCAGAGCAATGGTTCGTAACCATTTTGGGGATAGGAATTTGAAGAAATCTATCAAGTCATTCAATAGATATCTATTTAGTATACACTACGTGTGAGGACTTTGCTAGACACTACTTTCTTGGGATTTACAGGGCAAGAGGGTAAACAGACTTTTCTCCACAGAACTGCATATACACATATATGTACAATGTTTTACAAGTTCAAAGTGTTCATGAACCTCTGAAGTCCTTGGCTAAAGCATCACTGGAGTAGATGGAGAACTCAGCTCTGCTGCTAAGGTCTGTCTATGCCATGTAGTTCCCGCATTGTCATCACCACAAATGCAAGAGAATGTAGGCTAGAGACTGCAATCATAGAAACAAAGAAACATAGACATGCATCAGAACCCAGAGATCTAGGTCAGCCTTCTCTTAGAGAGGTCTCATTGACTTGCCCAACTTGCACAGAGAAGCAAAGGCAAACCTGTAACTAACACCATGGACTCCAGGGTCCCAGTCGTAATAGTGGGGAAATTGAGTAGAGCTGATGCCATATTGGAGCAGACTGACGGTCATTTCCAACTTATTATTGCATCTCTAACAGTACCTCTAAGAGTTATTTGGAGGAAGTGAGGCAGCTGCCTCATGGGTTGCTGCATTCAACATTTGGGGAAGTGTTCTTGGCCCAGAGCTACCTGTGGAGTTACTTAGGAAGAGATCTGGACCCTCAGCCATTTACTTCATTGCTCTAGCTGCTCTGTTTCCACGGTTCAGAATTCAATGGGGGTGCAAGGATTAGTCACTACATGAAAAACCAGTGGACCTGCATGGGGCATAGTAAGCTATTAATTAGCTGATGCTTGTAGAGCACTTTGAAGAACAAACATGTTATGTAACTGCTAATTATAATTACTGTCCTCAGCCTGCCACCTTTCACAAACTCTGTTGTCTCCAGCTGCAGCTGTTTCCATTGGTTTATGCAAGCTTTGATTTAAGGAGAGAAAAGGCATTTTCCCTGAGAGCTGTGATCTTTCTGTGAGGAGGCCTCTATGCCCTCAATCAAGATTGGCAGCTAAATTCAATTTCCGCAGATAAAGGGAGTGATTTACATGCTGATTAATTCATGGTGCGGAGCACATGATCTCTGGGTGGGTAGGTAGGAGAGGCTTCTGGAAATGTAGTGAGAGATGCTGATTACCATGGCTCTTGTTCAGCTGCCCCTCTTCTTTCATCTTTTGTCTATTTTTTTACCCACTTCTTCACACCTCCCCTTCTGTCCCAACTCCCTCTGTCTATTTTGTATTTACCTTCCTCAGTGTTCCCTTTTGGGTTTTTTTTTTTTTTTTCCATTTTCTTCTACTTTTCTGCCTACCCTCTGAATGCCTTCTACCTCTGCTCTGTTTTCATTCCATTTACCCCTCTTTTTATATTTGACTGTTTAATTCCAAATTGGGGGGAAGAAGGTGTCTTTACCTGGATTGTTTTTAGTCACCTTAGAAATATTTCTGGAGCCCCTATTTCTTTGGATTAGTAGCACGAGTCTATATATATTTTTCATGGAGTGTGAACTCCGGCAAGGTGGCGGGAGTTTTTTTTTAAGGCCAGACTGAACTGGAAACTCCAGACAGCTAAGAATTAGGCAACCACTTTAGTGTCTGGAAAAACCCCAGGTGGAAGCTTCGTGTTTAGTGAGTTGGTTTACCTCAAGATCAAAGAGGTTGATTCATTCTTGATAAGACTGTCCCTGGCTTTCATTCTGCACAGGTCATTTGGCTCTTTATGTTTAGAATCTGAGTTAATAATTATAAGGTTGACGCTTACTCTCTCCGTGCTCTTAGAAGGATAACATCTCTTTGGGACACAGACTATTTCTCTCCTGGGATCCTTCCTGACCCCCTAAGCTGATTCAGGCCCTGAGTCCAAATGCCTGCTGTTAGCCTCTGCTCCTTCTGTTGTGTTGTTGACCCTCCCCTTCAGCTCCTTGAGTGCTCGCTTGCGGCTCTACACATTCCAGATGGGAAAAGAAAGGTCAGCTGGCATAAGTGGACACGTTTATATGAGTAGCCGCACGGCTGGGGTTTGTTTGAATATGTGTATAATGTGTGGACCGTCAAGCATCATAGCTACTTTCGTTGCACACCACCTTACATGCCCAGAGCTCTGCGAGAGGTCTTAATGCTTGAGTTCGTTTGTCCTCAGCAACACCTTGTGGAGTAAGTATTGTTCTTTTCATTTCATAGATGAAAAATCTGAGACTCATAAAAGTTAAGCAACTTTCCCAAGGTCATTCAGTAACTAGTAAAAGCCAGAGCCAGGATTTGAACTCAGGTCTGTAGGCCCTGAAAGCTCACACTCTCTCTCCTACACCAGTGTTTCCCAAGCTTGAATGATTTGTATGCCACCCTGACAATGTTTGCCATCACACAAGTATTATTTATTTAGTAAGTTTCTTAAAACAGTTTATATTTAAAACTTAAATTTATAATTTAAATTTATTTATTTATTTTAAAAAAATTTATTTATTTATTTATTTGTTTTTCCCCCAAAGCCCCAGTAGATAGTTGTATGTCATAGTTGCACATCCTTCTAGTTGCTATATGTGGGACACGGCCTCAGCATGGCCAGAGAAGCGGTGCGTCGGTGCACGCCTGGGATCCGAACCCGGGCCACCAGCAGCGGAGCGCGCGCACTTAACCGCTAAGCCATGGGGCCGGCCCATATAATTTAAATTTATTGATCAAGGACACTTTATAATATATGTGGTATCATGAGTTTGATGAACTAGGTATATTTGTCTAATATACAGAAAAATCAATACAAAGTGAACATATAAAAATTTATTCAAGTGCTACCAAAAATCATCCTAAATTGTATAATGCATTTTAAGAAGGCACTACTCTAAGCCATGCTGCTTCTACCTATTTTATGTGACTCTAGAGACTTAAAAAAAAGAAAGAAAACATAGCAGAAGTGTTGTAGCCAAACATGCATTTATTCAAAGTAGTCACCTATCACCTTGGGAAGCCATACCCTCATTTCAATGATGCTGCCATTATCAAAATATGTCTGTTTTGTAATCCCTGTTTGGGAATTGCCTTTGGAGGTAGTTTATGAGTCACATTAGAGTATCAGTCATATTACTTTTGAAATCAGAGATAACATTTAACTAGAAATGACATTGGGCTTGGCCATCTGTTTGGGTCACTTAAATTTATTCTGTGTGACCTTTTACTGTTGCCAAAAATAAAGAAAAAGGATATAAAATTAGAAACCAAGAGAGTGTAGTGGACTGGTCCCTGCCCACAATGGGACTTCTGAAAAAGTAGTCTATGCCCCCTGTCTCGGTTCCTCCCATCCTATTCTCTTCTCAGCCTACTGAAGGAGAATCAGGCATCCAACACTCCACTACACTACAGCTCTCTCACCAAGGTCACTAATGACCACCTAACTGCCAAATTCAGAGCACTCTTTTTTGTGTGTGTGTGAGGAAGATTGGCTCTGCGCT